TTATATCCGTCCCCTTTTAATCTGAACTGTCCATCGCATTTGATCTGGATCGTCCGATCGTGATTAAATAGGAAGTGAATCTGAAACGTTCATCGCAATTTAATATGAACCGTCCAATCGCGTTTAAATAGGAAGTGGATCTGAACTGTCCGTGCGCACGGGAATGAATTTGGACCGTCCGATCGCGAGCACGCGGTCGCCAATGTGACCTCTCGCGTGACACTGTGTCAGCATCCCTTGCCACGCGGCGTGCTCCTGTTCATCGGGGCTACTGACTGGGCGTACTATGTGGTACAACTTATTTAAATTGCATTTTGACCTCTGATTTTCGATTTTTCTTTCAAAAACACCATCAAAACCTAAATTTTCACCCATTTTTTCTAAAATTGTTTTCAATTTCATCTTCCAATTAATTTTCTTCATTTTTTCCATTAAAATAAAATAAATAAAAATAAAAATATATTTATATATTAATTTTAATTATATTAAAATTAATTAATTAAGGGTATTACACCTAGAATTTGATGTACGCAACCATGTATTCTTGAGAGTATCACGAAAGAAAGGCCACATGAGATTTGGGAAGAAAGGGAAGTTAAGCTCTTGTTTCATTGTAAAAGTTCTTGTTTCATTGTAACTTTTGAGATATTTGAAAGAGTTGGTACAATTGCCTACAAGTTAGTATTACCACAAGAATTATTTAGAGTTCATGATATCTTTCACATGTATACTAGATAAATATCATCTTGATCCATCACATGTTCTCCAATATGAGCCACTTCTATTATAAAAGAACCTGACCTATAAAAAAGTGCTCGTACACATATTGGATCAAAGAGACAAGGTGTCGATGATCAAAATGATATTGTTAGTTATATTCTTATATCAATACACCATCACAAGAAGAGGCTACATAAAGCTAAATACCTCCAATTACTTTGAAAATATATAACAAATTCGTGGGATTAAATTTTTTTAAGGGAAGAGATTGTAAGGACCTAGGCACAATAATTTCTTGGAGTCCAAAATTAAATTCAATATATAAAATTGTATACAATTTTGATAAAAAAATAAATCACAAAATTTATTTCAAAAAAAAAACTTCGAGAGAATATTAATTTAATGATAATTTAATTTAACCTCGAAAAATCAAAAGCCCATCTGGGCCGAAACCGAAGAACAATTCAGTGTAGCCTTAATCTAAAACCCAGTCCGTCCATAGCAGTCCAAACTCAACTTTTCTTTTGCACAGTGCACAGAGGAGAAAAAGGAAACTTCACGCCGGAGGGAGAATGAGCTCCGGAGCCCGAAGAAAAGCGTGAAACAGAGGAACAGAATCTGCTGCTGAGCTATAGAAGGCACCTGGAACACGAGATTCACGGAAGCAAGAAGAGGACCCGTGGCAGGACGGGAAGATTCTGTTTCTACAAGGTGTGAACGGAGCTGGGGTTTCGAGGTGGAAAAAGGGAAACACTCTGGATAGAAGGGGGGGAAGTTTTCTGGACTACGAAAAAAGGAGGAGGGTTGAAAAACGGAGAAGAGACTGACAGAGGGAGGTGAGTATGTTAGAGGGTTCTTATCGGATTTTCGAGGAGTGAATTTCTCGGGAAAACAGAAAAAAAAGAGGGAGAAAAGGGGTGTCTTTCTGGTTTCTTTTGGAGTACGGTAAGGTAAAAAAGAGGGGAAGAAAGTTTCAGGGGCTCTTGGTTTTCGGGAAAAAGAGAAGAAGAGTTCTCGGGACTGTTTCAAGTGAAAACCAAAGAGATTTTTTACTAGAATTAAGAAAGCTAAGAAAGGGAAGTGAGAACTGGAAGAGAAAAGGGACGAGATGTGAGCCCAGAGAAGAGAGAGAAAGCTAAGGAGGAGGTGGAAAGACCGAGTGAGGCTAGAGGGTAGAAAGCGTGAGCAGAAGGAGACCGGTTTTGGTACTCGTTCTAAACCCTTCACTAAATTATTAAAAACAGAAACTCGGATTTACTTTTAGAATTTTTAGGGTGATTAGAATGAAAGTATTTTATGCATTTGACTTAAGATATTGAGGACTTATATCTATTTTGAAATGGAAAGTTAAGGTTCATTTTCTCTGTGGATTTCCTTCCTTTTTAGCTGCTTTATCATTGCTTGCAATGTTTCAACGTCCCAGTTGATTGTTTTTGCCATAAATATGTTTTATTTGAACATCTTTCTATCTTGCTTTTTGATTTGAATGAGTTTTATTTTTGTTATGATGGTTTAGTTAAATTAGCATGCTAGATTTTCTTACATCATGGATAGTTTTTGATAAGTAGCTTAAGTTTGATTGTGGAATGGACTTTTCATATATGAAGCTGTTATATGCTTCTTGTTATATTACAATCTAGCATGCATCAGTGAACATAATTGATGAAAAAATAGACTAAATCTGTGAAGATTGAGACAGATCTAGTGTGCGAGTCATGCGACCGAGTGGGAGAAAATGAGAGAAAAGAGAAAGTCAAAGAGTAAGGAGAAATGCGGAAAAGTTCATTCTTTACATTAATTAGGGTACGTATACAAAAATAACTGCACAACTTTACAAAAATAATATTACAGCCCTTCTATTTCCAACAAAACCACAAAAATTACCTTCATATACTCTAATATCTCTCCCTCAAGCTGGAGTATATAAATCCTGTATACCCAGCTTGGGCACAAGAGCTTGAAACTTTGAAATAGAAAGTGACTTGGTGAAACAGTCAGCTAGCTGATGAGATGAAGAAACAGAGGGCAAATGAATGATACCTTCCGCAACTTTCTGCCAAATGAGATGACAATCAATTTCTATATGTTCTGTCCGCTCATGGAAAACCGAATTTTCAGCAATTTTAATTGCTGACAGATTATCACAAAAGACCACAGCTGGATGAAGATCCACAAGCAGATCAGCACGCAGAAGCCGGAACCACTGTAGCTTACAACTGACTGCAGCAAGAGCCCTGTACTCAGCTTCAGAGGAAGACCGGAATATAGTTGATTGTTTTTTGGTTTTCCAGGAAACAAAAGCATCAGTAAAACACGAAAACCAGTAATAGATTTCTGTGAATCACAATCAGAATCGTTAACGCCTTTCAATTTCAAAGTATTCATGTTTCTCAATGTGTATGCTATTGCCCGGAATAAAAATTACCTGTCCATGATGCTTTCAGCGAATCTGGCCAATATTCGGTGGCTGTCAACAGACATCTTAATGACTGGGAGTTGGCTGAATATGAGAACTTCTTGCACTTAATGGCTAGCATTCACTTAGTGGATAGGAAAGACACACTTAGATGGAAACTGCCAAAAACTGCAGATTCTCTGTCGGCTCTTTCTACAGACATCTAGCTAATAGTAATGGCTGGACAATAGTTTATTCCTCTACAAGGCCATTTGGAAGGCTAATTCCCCTCTAGAATTGCTTTCTTTGCATGGGAGGTGGCCAAGGATTGTATCTTGACTTTTGATAATTTGATGAGAAGAGGAGGATTTTGGTTAATAGATGTTTGCTTTGTATGAGCAACGTTGAGAGTTGTAATCATATTTTGCTTTGGTGCCCCTTCTCCTACAACTTATGGACACTTGTTTACAGCTTGATGGGAATTAATTGGGTGATTGTGGGCTCTATTAGCAATGAACTTTTGGCTTGGGAGGGCCTTGCTCTGAATAATCAAAAGGCCTGTCTTATCCCATTAACCATTTTATGAGTTGTTTGGAAAGAGAGAAACAATTGGGATTTTGAGGGAAGAGAAGACACTTTTATAAATATGAAAGATAGGTGGCTGCATTGTTTTGGCTCCATCCTTTTGGGTCATAACTTGCATACTCTTGACGATATCGAAACAATTGTAGATATGCTCATTGATATGAAAAATCATTTTGTACATGGGTGGTACCCCCTTGGTGCCATTTACTAATACATATTCTCACCTTTATCTAAAAAAAAAAAGCCTCTCCATTTCAAAGAATTCTGAGCTGGATAAGACAAACCTTGCATAGGTGTACCTTTCAAGTATCTCAAAATTCGATGAGCAGCCTGTAAATGTGTCAGTGAACATAATCGATGCAAAAATAGACTAAATCTGTGAAGATTGAGACAGATCTAGTGTGTCAATCGTGTGACTGAGTGAGAGAAAATGAAGAGAGAAGAGAAAGTCGAAGAGTCTGAAGAAATGCAGAAAAGTTCTTTCTTCACATTAATTGAGGGTATTTATTCATGGAAAGAATATGCATTTACAAAATAACCCCGCAACTTTACAAAAATAACAGCCCTTCTATTCACAACAAAACTACGAAAATTACCTTCGTATACTCTAATATGTTATGTTAGAGTATGTAATTTTACATAGTTGATGGGTTGATTCTGTAAATACTTGTAAATGTGGGGTAGTTTTAGAATTATCAATAAATTAAATCCCTAGGTATAAATACTGTAAGCACGCAGAGTTTCATATCGGTCGTCGTTTTTCCCAATCTTCCTAAACACAGTTTTTTTTTGGTTCTCTCTTCTCTCTCGAGAAGCTTCTCACGAAGCGTCTGCGTGCTGCTCAATCTTGATCGATTCTCTTTGATTCTTTCATCATTTTTCCTCTGTTCATATTAGTTTTACAGACTCTAATATGATATCAGAGCTTATGCAGTGATTCTAGTCAATCCCTGAACAGTTGATCAAACCCTAGCTTTCGCTCTCGGAGTCTTTCGTTCAGATTTCAAAGTCTTCCGCACAGATTTCGGTATGGATGCATCTGCCTACTTAGAGTTTTTATACATAGGATTTAATTTATGGATAATTATAAACTACCCCACATTTACAAGTATTTACAGAATTGACCCATCAACTATGTAAAATTACATACTCTAATGTGTTAATATTGGATGTATTGGATGAGCATGCTGGATTGATAAAAGTACTATCCCAGTTGCTCATGATTGTAGTTATTGATGTTATTCTTTGCCTCCGTTTATGGTTTTTGTCCTGGTTTACCGAATATGAATTTGAACTAATTTAGTTGCATTCAGAGGATTATTCTTAATAGGTTTCTTGGATTAGTAGCAACCAGAATAGGATAATCAGTTAAAGGAAGCATTGAAGGACTTGAAGAAAATTCAATGTATTTACTTGTAATTTTTTATTTTCATGTATGCTAATTCCCCATCCTGCATGATTTGTGAATATTTTAATTTGTGGATTGAATTATGTATCTACGGCACTTACAAACATGCACCACATTTAGGATTTTACATTAATGTTGCATGCTAATTAAATCAATAATTAGCCTACATCACTAAATAGGTGTCGTACATTTTAGGTTTTCTGGATTTGCTGAAAGGAGATTCATTACTGCAAGGTAACTTGGGATCATGCATGTCTTGGAGGGTGTTTGCTAAGCATCGAATCAGTATCACCCTTGAAGATTTCTAATCTTCGTGTTTATTTGATTTACTTGATGCCGTTTCTCCTTTATATAAGTTTATCATGCTTTCTACTCATTGTGTCATTCTCACAGGGAATCTAATAGCTTCTATGAAGTGTATAGTAGTTAAATTATATTGTCCTATGATTTGTCTCTGTGTTTTCCATATGCACAGGACTTGTCTGTGGCTTTGCCCCAGATTCTCCAGAATGAGGCATGGTAAAGATGAAGCATGTAGTAACGAGCCAGTATGTATTTTCAAACTCAGTTGAGACTTGGTCTTGTCAATCTCTCTTTACCCCTCTGATACTTCTTTTGCTGTTTCTCTAAATATCACTGATTATATTTTTGTTTGCTAAGAGCTAAATCTTTTGTCTTCCATCTGCTTACATGAACAGGCCATTGACTTGATTTCAGCAGTGAAGGAGTTACATGGGCGTAGCTCTCAGGAGCTTAATAGGTTACTTAGAGAAACTGAGAATTTTACCATTCATTATATTGCTGGAAAAGGTTCATCAATAAAGGTATAGTTTAGGGTGTAGTTTTGCTATTCTTTTCTTACTTTAGATTTTCTAATGTCCTTTTACTGACATTTTTTGTCTCAAATTCTGTTATTTTTCAGATTGATGTCGAAAAACTTGCAGGCTTTCTTCCTCTGCATCTTATTGCTGTGGTTATGTCTTCCGACAGAGATGAAACCATGTTCAAGCATTTATTATCTGGCATTCGGCTTTTGCATTCTCTGTCTGATCTAGCACCCCGCCATAGTAAACTTGAGCAGGTTCCTTTTCAGTAATTATAAATTAGTTTCTATAGTTTTCTCTATCTGTTTTCTTGTGCAATGGGGAGTGACCTGCTTGATTTACATCTAATTGTATGATTGAGTTGGGACTGCAATTTTAATGGCCTGTTGTAATCCTTTTTGGTGGAACTAATTGTAGGACTTTACTTTATAAAATCTTGTGGTATTAGTTCTCATACTACAAGTGAAATGGGATGATAATGGCATAGCAAAATGCATTCTAGGGTCAACTATCTAAATCTATATGAATGCTATAGCAGCACCATTTAATGATCAAACAAGCTTTCATTTTTCAAAATTTCCAGAATCCTGGTCTTTTCTTCTTATTGCTTTCTTTAAATTTTGGCATCCTCTCTTTTTTACTGTGTGGTAAGTGTATTATTATTCATTTTACTCTTTCAAGATCCATCTCTTAGAACTGTGTGCTTTCTTCTGCCTTCCTCTAACTTTAGTCTATTCTCAAAGCTTTGGAAATGATATACCAGAGGAACCAAATTTTCTTTTAACTCCCTTTTGTTTCCTCACTTCTCGATGATACATTTGCAGATTTTGTTAGATGATGTAAAAGTATCAGAGCAGGTGCTTGATCTGGTGTTCTATTTGCTAATTGTCCTGGGTGGTTACAGACAGGTTTTTCCTAATTGTCTCTTCAACTATACTTTCCGTTTTCATTATATTCATTCATATTTGTTCTCTTAATACAGGAACATCATTGTTCAAGTGCTCTTCCCCTTCTACGTTCGGCACTAACAGCAGGCAGTCTATATCTGCTAACTGGATGTATATCCTCACAGTGGCAAAATATTGTTCAAGTATTACTTGCACACCCGAAGGTACAGCTAACCTCTCGTGATCTTTCGAGATGGTTCAATAAAAATGGATGGGTTGTATAAATTTCAAACCACATGGAATTTTTTGCTGTTGGTCATTCATAACAACGGCTTCAAACTCATCTACTAATGAGCTCTGCAGGCCAAATTATCTGTCTCTTTATATAGCTAGCTGATTCTAAACCTTCTGTTACAGGTTGACATATTTATGGATGTTGCTTTTGGAGCTGTTCACACAGTTATCAGGTCTCTCCAGAGCAAGCTGTCAGCTAGCCATACTGATCATTGCACGGAGCTGAATTTGGCTGGTGAACATGTGGTTAACTACCTTTGTCAGCAAGGCGAGGCCTCTTTGCAGTGTCTTCTTGCGATGTGCCAGCAAAAAGTTTTTCGGGAGCGCCTTGTTAAAAATAAGGTCTTCAAAGTAGAGTTCTGTTTATCTATTTGTTTAAAATGAGATGATATTTTTATACGGTTTGTGTTTCAAAGTGTATCTTAGTGATCATGATATATGGTAATTAGGTCTTAGATAATTATTTAATTTGCAGACAGGGCACATGCTGTATATGGTGTGCTGTTTGTGTTATGTGTTGCATTTGTGTGCGTTCAGCAGGAGAAAATTAGGGAGAGACAGATCAGAGTTATGCTGAGGCTGGAAGTTGTATTTGTGTGTGTTTAATAGGAGAAAAATTAGGGAGAAACAGATGAGAATTATGCTGATTATGGAAGTAACGTCCAGAATAACTGCTCCTCCTCTGTTAAAAACCTATATTGTTTCTGTTTACAGCTTGTGCAAGGAAACTTATATTCAAGTTGTGTATTTTCTGACTTTAGAGATTCTAGGTTTTTCTCTTAACAAGCCTTAATTTACTTCAAAGTAAATTTAGGTAGGGAAACACAAGAACACTCAAAACTTTCTGAAGGCTTTCGTGTTAATCGTTCCATAACTAGTGAAGCTTGTGATGTTTATCTATAAATTTGGTGACAACGTATGGTTTAGTTTTTGGCCAGACTTGCCATAATGTCTAGCTGGATTTAGCAATGTTGTTAAACTTGTATATGATGCCCAAACAAGGCAGAATCTTTATGATATTGGAGATTTTGATGCTAAAGTTTATCTAGAGAAAGAATGCATATGTATTTTAGGAACCATGAATGGACATATAAGTATCATGTATTTGTTGATATTTGGAAATAGACTTCCTACCTGCAGTCCATTCAAAATTCTGAGTCCTGTTGACTGATTCTTTTATGTTATCTGGTAAACTATTACATTTTGTTAATGTACAATGACTAACAATGTTTTTTTACTCTCTCAGGAGCTATGTGGAAACGGTGGTGTCCTTTTTCTGGCACAGTCAATCTTAAAGTTAAGCATACCACCAAAATTTATAGAATCTCCCATTCTGGTGGCTGCTGTGTCAAGGCTGAAAGCTAAAATACTGTCAATTGTAAGTCCAAGTGATGGAAATCTATTATTAATTATTCTTGGAGGCTTACAGAGCTTCTTACCTTCCCATGAATGAGCACACATTTCTTGTTTTTGCAGTTATTGCATTTGTTTGAAGCAGAAAGTGTTTCTTACCTTGATGAGGTTGCCTCCTCAGGAAGCCTGGATTTGGCAAAGTCTGTTGCAGCAGAGGTTAGTTTAATGGTGTTTCCTTTTCTGATTTTACTGAAAGGGAGTGAGAAAGGTATTATTTCTCTTGGATGATTCCAGATCCTTGTTCAGTTGTTGGTTCGTTCTCTTGAGAAAAGCTAATGACACCTATCAAGTTTGCTGTTGTTTGTTTATCTTGTTTTCATCCCCAGTTTCCTTTCTTCTTTCAGTGGTCCTAGTGGTCAAATTTACTGTTGTTTGTTTATCTTGGTTTTAGAATGAACTGCTATGACCAATCGAGTTCACTTCTCCTCTGGGCTCATTTACATAATTATCAATTTACGTCAGAGATCCTTCAGCTGTGGTATTGACTTGTAGTTTACAAACAGCTCGTGTAATAAATAATTGCCAACTCTCTAAAGTTCCACATTATTGGTCCTCTGTTGTTGTGCATTTCTTATTATTATAATGCCTGAGGTAATAACTTTTGGTTTTTTTTTTTTTTTTTTTTTTGAGATGAAGTAATAACTTTTGGTTTAGAAACCGCCTGTTCAAAATAATTGCCAATTTTGTATGGCTCTGCATGATTGTCCCTTTGTTGTCATATATTATCGTTTCCCTTTTCATTTATGAAGTTTGCTTTTAATTCATTGTGTTTCCTATTAATACAATTATCGTGATGTAGGTTCTTGAATTACTGAAGACTGCGCTTAGTAAAAATCCCAACCATCTTCAGACTTCTGACAGGACCTACTCTATGGGGCTTTTGCAACTCAATGCTTTGCGTTTGGTTGACATCTTGTCAGATGATTCAAACTTCAGATCTTACGTTACAGTGCATTTTGTAAGCTATTATTTTGGTACTTTAGTGGCTAAATTCTTTTTTTTTTTTTTTTGTTGAAAGAACTATAGGTTGAGAAGAGAATATATTTTGAAGAGTAATTCTCTGTTGTTAGGCTTCCCTGAACGATGTTGTACATATTTTTCAATTTATAGAAGATACAAACAGTTAAACTAGGAAAGAGTTATAATAAATTTATTTTAAGAGCACTCTTAATTCAAAATAGTTGATTAATCAATATTAGAACTAATATTCTATAGAGAGTAGGAAAATAAATGCCATAATCTTCTACTTTCCAACAGTATCAAGAAATAAATTTCACTATCTTCTACTTTTCAACATTCCCCCTCAAGTTGGCTTGAAGATATCTTCCATAGCTAATGTGCCAATTAATTTGTCAAATTGCTTCTTATGTAGCTCTTTTGTAAGAATGTAATTGAAATGTTCTGCTCTTGGAATATATAGCATGCAAATCAATCCGCTATCTATTTTTTTCTCTAATGAAATGTTTATCCACTTCTGCATGCTTTGTTCTATCATGTAGAACTGGATTTAAGTCATGTTTGCTGCCTTATTATCACAGTACACCTTCATAGGCCAGGAGTCAAAAATCTTGAATTCTTCGGACACTATCTTGATCCATACTGCTTCATAGATTCCATGAGTGACTGATCTAGATTCTGCTTTTGCACTACTTCTTGCTATTACATTTTTTTTGCTTCACTAAATAACAAGGTTTCCTCCAACAAAACGACAATACCTAGATGTAGATCTCATATCAGTTACACGTCCAATTTAGTCTGCATCTGCATAGACTTCAATCTGTAGTAGTCCACATTTCTTAAACAATAGACCATTTCCAAGAGTTCCCTTCAAGTATCTTAGGATTCTGTAAGCTACTTAAAATGTTCTAGTCCAGGTGAATGGATAAATTGACTAATCATGTGTTGATTTTGGAGAGGAAAAATATTAACTTTATTTCTCGCACATTTTATGTTGTTACACTTAAGATATTTATAAAATTCCTTACTTACTGATAGAGAAATTTTTATTTTAATAAAATTCTAATTATATGAAATAATTATTCTCATAAAATTCTAGTTACAGCATAGTAATAAATTAAAATAATTAAATAATAAAATATAATAGTTAACACCCCCCACTCAAGTTGGTGTAGGGATATCACACATGTTCAACTTGTAAATTAAGTTCTAAATAGTCATCCTGTAGTTTATCCGTGGCAAAGGTTGCTCGAAAAGCACTGCAAACTAGAACTAGATCTGTTAGGCAACGGTTCAAAACGGTTCGAGCCGGTTCAAAACGGCTCAACCCAGCTCAAAACGGCTTGGCTGGGCTCAAAAACAGTTCGAGCTCGGTTCAAAAAAGGCTTGGGCTCCAATGGAGTACTACACGAGCTCTCACATGCTGCCACGTGCCGCCAGACACCCTGTCACTGGACCACCACATGACGCCAACACACTACCTCCGGAAACCGCACGTGCCGCCGTGAACTCACTAGAACACCACAGAACAATGCGACTCGTCAGATCCGATAAGATCTGCCATGCACACTTCTCCGCCTTATCGCCGTGTTGTGCGTAAAGGATTGGTTGGCACGGATTCGTCTTCTCGGGCGTCGGAGCAATCTAGCGCAGATCTGGTCATGCACTGATTGGATCTGTTTAGATTTGGAAATGCCACCGCGTAGAGACTAGATCGTTTAGTCTGTTCGTCTTCTCCGGTGTCTGTTCAAATCCCGACCAGATGCATTTGATCTTCTAACCACCACGCTAAGCTTCTTCTTCAAGGACATACGCAGATTTTGGTTTTTCGACAACGTCGGGGTCGGGAGGTGGCCGATGGTGAGTCTCCGATACTATCTAGGTTGGTTATGAGAGTAGATCTAGATAATTGGGTACCAATCTAGTCTATTGTGTTATTTTAAGATTTGAAGAAAATTTTGAAATTAAACCTCTAAAATAGTTTTATTTGATTCTGATACCATATTGATTTTGGAGAGAAAAAATATTAATTTTATTTCTTATACTTTTTATGTTGTTAGATTTGGAGTATTTATAAAATTTTTAATCTATTGATAGAAAAAATTTTAATAAAATTCTAATTATATGAGATAATTTTTCTTATAAAATATTAATTGCATCATAATAATAAATTAAAATAATTAAATAATAAAATGTGGTAATAACACCGTGCTTACTGCACAGACTAAATTAAGTTGTGTATGAGACAGATAAATATGTTTTCCTTGACGAATCTTTTGTACTGGTCTTTGTTCACCACATGGTCCAATTTGGCAGCTTATAGCTTTGTATTAACCTCAGTTGGTGTTATTGGTGTTATTGGTGTTTCAACTACTTCACACCCAAGTGTGCCTCTTTCACCAAGTAAACCAAAGACATTTCAAAGAAAATATTTGCATTGATTAATAAATATTCCTTGCTTCAATCTTGCAGATTCTGTTCCAAGACTTAGGTGCACCTAGTTCCTTGGTCTCGAAACTATCTGCCAGTTTATCTTTTAGGTTTTTGAGCTAGGTTGATTCTCCTATCAAGATTTTATTACCTGCATAAACAATTAAGAAAACAATTCTACCTTCAGGTGAATATGTATGAAACATAGTGTGATTGGCTTGAGTCTGACAGTTTCCATGTTTCTGTACAAATTTGCTAAAGCATTGAAACTATGCTTTAGGGCTGTTTAGGGGCTTCTTTTATTTGCAAACTTTGTTA